GGCCGTAAAAAGTGTATCTACTTTGCCTCGGTGATTGATAAAGTTAAGGCTAGATGCTTGAGTTGGCAACGCCGGCTGCTCTCGAAGGGCGGGAAGGCAATCTTGATCTCTTCAGTATTGCAGGCCATACCGTTGCACATATTTTCGGCCTGCGCTCCGCCTAAGCAGGTCATACGGGATTTGGAGAGATGTTATGCGAGTTTTTTCTGGAAACAGTCAGGGGGCGCCCGGTACCACTGGAGTTCGTGGAAAACCCTCTCTCGTCCTAAGAAGGAAGGGGGGGTGGGGTTCATGGATTTAGACTTGATGGTAAGGGCGGCCAGTGCTAAATTGTGGTGGAATTTCCGGACAGATCATACTTTATGGTCGGACTTTATGAGGGCGAAATATTGCAGTCGGGTTCACCCGGTTGCTAAGTTGGTTCAGAATAGAGATTCGCACGCCTGGAAGAGGATGCTAGCGGTACGTGATGAGGTTGAGGGGGTTCTCACTTGGCGGTTGTTCCAAGGCCGGGTTAATTTCTGGTGGGACAACTGGTCGGGTCTGGGCCCACTTGGCAGGCTTTATCCACACCGGGGGGTTTCCTACTCCCGGGAGTTACTTCTAGACTATGTGCGGGATGGCCAGCTTGATTTGACAGACCACGATGACTTGGCATTTGCTGGGATTGGGGCGGACCTGTCCCGCTTGGGGCAGGGCCCGCGTGATATCCCACTCTGGACCGTGGCGTCCGACGGTATGTTTTCTTATTCCTCTGCTAAGGCCTTTCTTAGGCCTGCTTTGCCCACTGCACCGGACCCGCTCTTAGCTAAGTGTTGGCGCAAGCACCTTCCTTTTAACTGGCTTGGAGGGTGTTCCGAGGGCGGCTTCCCACGGATGACATCTTGGCCCGTTTCGGTCATGCGATCGTCTCGAGGTGTCGGTGTTGTCCAACCCCGGTCCCCGAGTCTATTGATCACATCTTTTATTCTGGGAAAACAGCAAGAGCTGCTTGGAGATATGTTTTGGCGTCCCTCGGCCTCTACTTGCGACACCGGAGTCTTAGGACTTTGATTGTAGGATGGGGTAGGGCGGGGGCGCGTAACCCTCTTTTGTCTTTTGTTGTTTGCAGGTTGCCGTATCTGGTGTTGTGGGAGCTGTGGAAGCACTGTAATGGGTGCATGTACGGCCGAGACACACCTAGCGTTGCACGGGTGATGCATGGGGTGGCAAAGGGGGTGGCGGAATGCCTGTTTAGGCGTTGGCCCATGCAGCATATCCTGCCCTCTAACTGGAGGACTATTGTGGCATACTTGGAGGCACATGTGCCGAGGCGTGTTATTAGGACGGTCAGGTGGTCTCCCCCGGTTGCTGGGGCGTTAAAGATCAATCTTTCTCGGTCTTCGGCGGCTGGGGGGCTACGGCTGTGGTGCGCAACCAGGAGGGTGGCTTCTGCTACGGGGTTGCGTGGTCTGGCCACGGGGAGCACGCCCGGGGAATGTTCCGGGTCCTTTTCTCTTGCCTGGAATGGTGCCTGGCCGGGGGAACTACTTTGATTGATATAGAGTCCACTTGGGCGGAGTTGGCTAGCTACGTTGATATCTCTGTTCGTCCGCCGTGGATTCTAGATGATGTTGTGACCAGACTCCGGTTTCTGTGTTCCTGTGGGGTTGTTACTGCTTCTGTGTGCCCGTCCAGGGCCAATATCCCTGCACAGGCGCTAGCTAACTGGGCGGTGGATAAGCCGGGGGAGGCCATCTTTCGGAGCCTCAATGATCTGCCACGTAGGGTCCGTTCTTTACTGATACATGATGATGTGCCCTACGTGTTTTTTGATATTGATGATCCCCCGTGATTGTACTTGTACTTTGTTTGATTAGTTGGAAATTTGGAAAAAAAGAAAAAACAGAAAAAAGAAAAAAGAAAAGAAAAAAAGGAAAAAAGAAAAGGAAAAGAGATGGAAAAAAGAAAAGAAAGGGCTGAGGGATAGAAAAGAATTGAGTGGAAAGAATGAGTGAAAGAAAAGAATAGAGTGAAAAGAATTGGAGTGAGAAAAAGGAGAGTTGGGAGGAAAAGAAAGAGTGGATGGGAGTTAAAAAACAGTGAGTGTGTGAGGTTCTCTGTGGACCGGGAAGCCCTGCTTCGCAGTGCTGAGTCTCAACGTAAGGTGCTGGCGGTACAACAGGGCACCCTAGTCCGGGCTGAACGGTGTGCCGGGCAGGATTATCAAATCCGTTGACCTGGTCAGGCTTGCTGCTGGCCAATAGTAGCTGAGTTCCTTCTGGACTCCGGGGGGACGGGCTATTATTTGGGGGGTTGCTTTTGTTCGCGTCAGCCTGGTATAAACTTAAACACTCACCCGAGATAGATGTGATAGTTGGGTCATGGGAACACGATGCTAGCTTGTTCTATCTTGTTTCTATTTTTGCAGGTGCTGCTTCTTTGACCTCGGAGGCATGAACTGGTCTTGGGCTCTTTTTGGTTTCGCCTTTGCAGGCATTTTTGGAAAAGACCAGGTCTCAACGCCGATGCAAGCGGTCAAAAATTGCATCGTAGCCCGGGCTGAAGGTGGCCGGGTAGGTGTTTTTCAAATCCGTTGGCGGTAGTCCAGGCTTGCTGCTAGCCCATAGTAGCTAATCCCGTTAGGGTTGGGGTGCTGATCGGGAGTTCTGCTATTGGCTGCCTTGTGCCGTGTTGATGATTTATTGGCTCGGGATCTACCTGTATTTCTGTCTCAGGACTGCGTGCCATTACTGGACTTAAGCCTGCGTGCCATTGTTAGCTGCTCTGCTTTGTCGTGCGTGCTATTGCTATCTTGCATTATCTATTGTTTGGCATGCTTGGTTCTACAGGGCAGTCGATAGCGTTCCGGGAGGTGTTGCAATTGTGGTGCATCCCGGCTAGGCGGCATTATGGTGTGTAGTCGCTGTAGTGCAACTGGCTGGGGGGCCACGTTTGTGACACGCGAGGCATCTATCCTCGCTACTTGTGCTTCAGATTACATGGTGGGCGGAGATGCAGTTGGGCTGTACGTGATTTTTGGTGCAGCATCTCAGTCTACTTACTGGTTTTGACATACTCCTGCCTGCGATTAGTTAGTGATAGCTAGCATAGGGCTTGGGGCATGCATGTTAGAGCCCCGGGGGCCACTTTATGGTATCTTGTCTTATTTTACTTTTCCTTACTTAGCTTATTAGTAGGATCTAGGCCATGTGGGGCCTAAGTCCATCCGGACCTTGTACTGGCCTTGGCCTTCCTTTTTATTAATAAACTTCTTTTTTAAAAAAATAAAAATAAAAATAAAAAATAAAAATAAAAAACATGCCTGCACACATAAACCTTGTTGGTCTGTAAGTCCAATCATCTATAACCCCGGAAAGACTCTGGATAACCTAAGAAGACACAAGGAGAAGACCTATAGGACATTTTATGACGATTATAAGGTCTTAAATGGGGATAACATAGACATCCAAAGACACGAAGAAAAGAGTAGGATGTAGAAGATTTATGTAGCGCGCATAAGATGGGGACTGGAGTTATTTAACACAATAGAAGGAATTCTATTTATCAAATAAACAGCAGTCTCAAACGTAAAATCCTAGAATTTGTGTGGAATAGAGGCATGAGCCAAGAGTGTCAAGCCAGTTTCAACAATATGTCTATGTTTCCTTTCGACATGACCATTTTGTTCATGAGTGTAGGCACATGATTGTCTATGATTAATCCCTAGCTGGACAAATGAAGTGTGTAATTTTTTGTACTCAGTCCCTAAATCAGATTGAATGGCCTTAATCTTGCGATTAAACGACCGCTCAACCAAGACACGGAATTTATCAAAGATAGCATAAATGTCAGATTTTTGTTTCATAGGATAGTACCACGTGAACCGAGAGTGATCATCCACATCCCTAACAAAGTAACTAAAACCATCAACAAACAACAAGGGAGCTGGACGGCAAATATCAGTGTATACTAAATCAAGAACATTCGAACTAGAAGACTCAACACGAGACAAAGAAAAACGTGCAGATTTCCCTAATTGACATGCACTACTGCACAAACTAGAATTATCACGAACAGTACTACTAGACCCACTAACCGAACAAGACTGAAGAACACGACTAAGAACACATCGATGTGGATGACCCAAGCGACTATGCCAAACTGAAGCAGATGCACGAGCGGAAAGAAACACGAAAGGAGACGAACTTGTGACTGGTAATGTGTATAGCCCCGCCAGAGCTATCGCCCCGTAAAAGAATTTCCTTGGTATTAATATCCTTCACAACAAAAAAGAGGGGTGAAACTCAAAAAAACACTTTATTATCTGAAGCAAATTGTCGAAAAGGAACCACCTGAGCTCTCCAAAATAGGAAGTTCTTGTAGGTCAATTTGATACTGATAAAGTGATGAGCGGTGGATTAGGAATTTACGGTCGATGTGACCAAAGAAATTTCGACATTTGAGACGGTCCATTCTGAGGAGTCAACAGATCCGTCAACCATAGGAAAGAAACCCTAGTTTAACTGATAACATATGAGAACTGATAGAATTGTATTGAATGAATATGGTTACAAAGGTATAGATCATAGGTATATATACAAAAATAACCATAGGGATACTATGATAGGGAGTCAGTCAATCATAGGGAGACTACGATAGGGAGTCATATAGACTAACTCAAATACATGGAGTCCTAATAGCTTCAACGCTCCTAGCATTTTCGGGAGGAAGAGAATTGATTTTAAGGAAAGTGTTTCACATACCTTGGATTAACCGTATTACCAAATCGAATTTTTGATAAATTTTCATTTTTAAATTATTGTGAAAAATTCTTCAATTTTATTAACGGTAAAATTTAAATGGAAAACTATAAACAAATGAAAGTCAATGATGAAGTAAACTAAAATTTAAAAATATAACTAAATATGATAATGCCACGTTAATTAATAATGCAATAAATTAAAATTAAAAATATAACTAAATATGATAATGTCACGATTAGTATAAATAAAATTCACTTTTATTTATTTAGATAATATTTATTTAACTGAGAAATGCCCAATATTTGACTTAGTGCACGCATAAACACAACATAAACTTGATTCATAGTAGATGTCCTTAACAATAATGACAACAGCAACAAGCAGTCAAGCATTACAACGCCATTAAAGCTCAAAGATCATCTGCCGGGTTCACTATCTCACCTATCTGCAAAATTACGTCAATTCAAGGAACCTTGTAACTTTGTAAGAGCATCAATATCAATAGATAATTTGGGGATAATTCACGGTTTTTTAAGTTGAGTAAGCCACATGGAGAAGTAAGAAATAGGAGAGAGAGGAGCTCAGCTCCTCCTGCAAGGAGGAGTTAACCGAGTTATTTCTCTTCCCTTGTGAGAGAAGCAGGTGTAGTGCTTGTTTCGCGCACAGCAGAGCCACACCTGGCACGTCAAGGGAACCTGATATCTCATCTTTATTATTATTTAAAAAAAAAACAATTTTGTATTTTTTTTTTTTTTTCTCTTTTCTCCCATATTTTCTTTTATAATCACACTTACACAAACTTCTCAAAAATCACAAATAAACTCCACCATTGTAGATGCTCAAGCATACACAACCATCATTTTCTTAATTCTAAGGCTGAAAATATCCTAGCAAATATCACATTGGCAAGATGACATGACAATTTTTATAAATATTTCTATTTTTTTTTTAACGATGAGGTGGATTGCAAATTTGCATAAAATGTAAATTTGCAATCCGTACAAAGCTGCCGCAGCAGTTGTATTTTTATTTATTTTATTATTTATTTTGTTTATTTACTTCTTTTGTTTTCTTTTATTATTTTATTGTATCTATTTATTAATATTTTAAAGTGATGTGATATTGGGTTCCACTTTTAAAAATGATAGAAGTGTCAAATAGGTTCATCTACTACTGGGAAGTGCTCAATTTTCACCCCGAACTAAATTAAAATCTAATCAGCCACATTTACTAGTTAAATTTGTTCGATTGACTTTTTTTTTGCAGGTTACTAACCGGTTGCGTATTCAATTATTAAAAAAAAATTAAAAAAAATAAAAAAGAATTTCAGCCACCGACTGTCCGGCGAAGACAGCCGGTGACTGCGTATTTCACGGACAGCCGTGGTTAATCATAAATTATTTAACATAAATATATACTTATTGGTCATTTATTATTTCAATTTCATTGCTATAGATTTTCTTTTTCAAGCACACATTTCTTTTACTGCTCTAACAACATAGTAGGTAGCGAGTTGATGGGGTAAAATCTTACCTCAAGTTGAGCCTCCAGGGTAGAATTAGATTTCTGCAATGGTTCGGCGACTAAAATGTAAAACATCCCCATGACTCCAGTGTGACTCAACCTAGTGCTATAATTAGACGCAATAGTTAACATTTCTCCTTCCACAATTTTAATAGAACCAGGTTGAGGATAACATGCTGACATTCCTACAATGTAACCGGCTTCATTTCCTGCTTCCATTCCTTCCCCATAAATTGGGAAAGATGAGCATATTGTCTGCCCATCCTAAATCAATTCAAAGAACATGCATTTAAAGAATAGATAGTGAAACACATAGACATGGAAGATAAAATAACGGACTAATTAATTCCATATCTTATTTTTCAACTATTTCCAATTATAACCAAGAACAAAATGATAATTTTTCAAACACTACGGCAAACATAGCTGAAAAGGTAGCTGAAAGCTTAAAAAGAGCTGAAAAGCTATAAGCTAAGAGCTGAAAACGGAAGAGTTGTTAAACTAGCTGTTGTGCTTGAAAGTGTTTAGTAAAATGTAAAAAGACAAAAAAGAACATCTTCATAAAATTTAAATTAGTTTGTTTACATATTAAAATTTAACATTTTGTCTTTAAAAAAAAAATTAACATTTTGAAATAAAAGTATTACCATAATCATGATCTAGCATCTCATAATTAAGTAACAATATTGTTGCGGATCTCGTTCACCTCGAAAATAAGCTCTTATTTTAAGCTATAAGCTTATTGCTGTCTGTTCTCTCCAATTTCTTTTGAGAAAATTCACTCAAAACAATTCAAGTGAAATTCTCTCTAATGTTACTCCCCTTTAATTTAAAAAATTCATCCTGGTTGAGTGAATTGTTTCATATATTCACAAAGTATGAGACAGATCTATCCATTTCTATTTTAGATTTATAAGTAGCAATTCTCTTTTAATTTTTTTTCTTCAAAACATCTCTTTTGGTCTCAGTATTATTGTAGTATGACCATTTTTAGTTCTCCGTCAACAAAACCGTTTAAATGTCATTAAATACAAGGACATTTCTATCTTTAATTAGGGATTTTTTTCAAAAATAAAAAAATAAAAAATAGCAGGTCAACCAATTTTGTATTTTAAAAAAGGATCAAAATGTCCATGTATTTAATGACATTTAATTTCAACAATTTTGTTGACGGAGAAGAACAAAGGGAATGCTCTGAAAAAAAAAAAAAAAAAAAAAAAAGTAAACGTGGAATGACACCCAAAGGGAATGCTCTGGGAAAAAAAAAAAAAGTAAAAATGGAATGACATTTTATAAATTTAGGATAAAAATGAGATTTAACTCTTTTGACAAATTACCATTTTGTTTTCAACAATAATCTATATTTTTCAAAAATTAAACAGAGAATTAAAAATGGCATAGACACCATAGTGAAGTGCTAACATTGTTTGTTTTGTTTTTTTTTTTTTTTTTTTTTTTTTTTGACGAGAGAAACTCCTAGCCACTACCTGAGACTATACATTAGGTACCTAAAAATAGCTAGCAAACCACAAAAAAAAAAAAAAAAAAAAAAAAATGATGAATTTTTAAATCAAAGATTAGAAGTGAACAAATCAAATCACAATATATAGTTTGAATTCCTGGCATATATTGAAAGCAAATATTGATTTCATTGTCTTGCATGCGTAGCACAAAACTAAGGAGAATGCAAATGAAGGCATTCAGGCAACATGAAATCATACCAAAATTAAAGGAAGAAACAAATTAAAGCCAAAAATACCTCTCCATAAAGAGTTGAACCAATCCCTCCTATGTGTTGGTGGGCAACAGCATAGATGACATCTCCTCCACTTGCCAAATTTACAGTTACACTTTTGGTATCAACACACTTCTCATTTGCCATGGAACCAGAACATGACTCCACTTCATATTCAATCTGAATCAACATAGACCAACTTTAATTTATTTACTTTTTGAAAAGTTTCATGGAAAAGGGTTGTCACAAATTAAAGTATCTCTGGTCGTTTACTTGAATAAACTTAAGTAAATTATGCTTCTGTGTATGTAAGACCTAGAGGTAAATCGTGCTAAGAAGACTTTATGCAATAGGCTCATACTACAAGAAAAATGTGCATAGATAACCGCTATTTTAGGGCAAAAATTTGTTGTTAGTTGAAGCCAGTATTGTTGTAGATCTTGCTCAAACACAACGGTTAAAAATCGTTGTCTTAAAATAGTTGTTAAGTCAGTGTTGATTTTAGATTCCGAAATAAATTCCTTATAATTATAAAAGCTCATCATGAATAAATAATTAAATTACGATAAATTCATATTCAACATCTAATATTATATGTGATTATTTATACTCCACACTCCAAATAATTACATGAAATTTAGATCGAATCACATGTTTTTATATCATACACCTTATTTTATCTATAAATTTCTAACAGATGTGAATTGTATACTACTTAGTGTGGTTTGGGGATAGATGTGAAGTTGTAAGATAGTTTAATTTAATAAAATATTAAATTGTACTAAACAATTCATCAAAGATAACGGTTGGATCAAAATTGTTGTCTTTAAAAAAAATGCGCAAGGACGTACAATAACTTTTTTAAACTGTTGTGGTTGAAGTGTTGTCTACTTACAAGTTATCAAATTGTGCTACAAGAAAGCACACTAATGAAAACGCTTCGATCAAAACTGTTGTGGTTTAAAAAGATAAACGTTTAACGACAACAATTTCTAAAACCATTGTCGTAGAAGTATTGTGTGTTCAAAGTACGTTTAAAGACAACTGTTAGATATATTAAATATAATATATTTAATATAATATATATTAAATATAATATAATATATCTATAATATATATTAAATATAATATATCTATATATTATATTTATATATTGAGAAGAGAGAGAGAGGAATAGAAGTAAATGTTTATTACTTCACTTGATGATTATGAATAAACAAAAGCCACATATTTATAGTGAAAGAGAAAAGCAACAATGCTAAAGTTTAGGAAGTAATTAGAGGCCATGATTCCATGTACTCCATTTCACGTAGTGCTATGCATGCATCCACGTTCACACACCTCCTTTTATTTTTTAACAAATTAACTGCTAACTACTTGGTTTAATATATTACTAATAATAATAATAGCATTATTATTATTATAACATTGCCTCCTTTAAACCAAGTTGGATATATTGGTCATCCCAATTTCCTTCTTCAATTTAAGAAATGTCTTCGTCTTCAAGTTGGATATACTGACTTGTATTTCGTTCTATAAACCCACTTTACTCCAATTGGCTTCTTCCCAGGAGGTAAATCTGTTAACTCCCAGGTACCATTCTTTTCAATGGCACGGATCTCCTCATCCATCGCCTTAAGCCAATGAGTTTCTGTAGCAGCTTCCTCAAAAGTTAAAGGATCACAATCTGCAAAGAGAGCAAATTGAACAATCTCTTCATCAGACAGGTCATTATCATGACCCAAAACATAATCTTGCAAGCGAGCTGGTAAGTGGCGCTCACGCTGAGATCGTCGAACTGACGATTCTGGCTGTGAAGGAGACTGGACATTATCTGGAATCGATTGCTCTTCAATAATATTTTCAACAGCATGAATAACAACTGAACTTTCATCTTTAGCTAACCAATCCCAGGCACCATATTCATCAAAAGTGACATCACGACTTATAACAACCTTTTTAGTTTCAGGATTGTATAGTTTATAAGCCTTTGAAGCGTCACTATAACCAATGAATATGCATTTCTCACATTTATCATCCAACTTCTTTCTCAATGGATCTGGCACATGTGCATATGCCAAACATCCAAAAACCTTGAGATGTTTGATAGAGGGTTTTCTCCCACTCCATGCTTCTTCGGGTGTCTTATCACTGACACTTTTAGTTGGACACCTATTCAACACATAGACAGCACAAGCAACAGCTTCTGCCCAAAAAGGCTTAGGCAGATTCTTGGATTTCAACATGCACCTTACCATATCCATGATAGACCTATTCTTCCTCTCAGCCACTCTGTTTTGTTGTGGAGTGTATCTAGTTGTCATTTGGTGCTGAATACCCTTTTCTTTCATAAAATCATCACAGGCAATATATTATGTACCTCTATCAGTTCTCAAGATTTTAATCTCATAACCACTTTGCTTTTCAACAAAAGTCTTAAATTGTTTGAAAACATCACATGCTTCAGACTTTTGCTTCAGAAAGTAAACCCATGTTTTCCTACTGAAATCATCAATGAAAGTAATAAAGTACTTACAACCTCCATGTGAGGGAACCTCCAACGAACACAGGTCTGAGTGAACAATCTCCAACTGTTTTGTAGCTCTACTTGACTTGCCCACAAGGAAGGGATCTCTATGCTTCTTCCCAATCACACAAATCTCACATATACGATCAGGGACATTCACAACAGGTAAATCAGAAACAAGTTCCTTTCTCGCAAGATAGTTTAATCCAGAGAAATGAAAATGCCCAAACCGCATATGTCATAACCAATTATCATCACAAACTTCATAATTAAAGCAATCAAGGAGAGTATGCTTAATTTTCAAAGGAAATAGTCGATTTTGGGACATATTTACCTTTGCAATCAAAACTCCTTTAGCATCTTCAATGGTACAACACCCCTGAGCAATATGTATCTTATATCCTTTTTCTGACAACTGACCCAAACTCAGCAAATTTTGGTGTAGTTCAGGAACATAGAACACATCGGATATAAAATTGTGAGTACCATCCTTCAATTGAATAGAGATTTTACCTTTTCCCAAAATTGACACCTTTGACTTATTGCCAAACGTTACTTCAGACCGGACTGATTCATCTAGTTCGGAAAACAATTCTTTCTTCCCACACATATGGTTACTACACCCAGTATCCAAGAACCATATGTTCTTATCAGCAGAAAAACTATCACTGGCCAAAAGTAAGGTTTCAGAATTCTCACCAGACTTTTCAGCAGTATTTTCAGCAATGTTTGCTTGATTTCCACGATTGTTGTCCTCATTATACCAACAATCTGCAATCTTGTGTCCATACTTGCCACAATTGTAGCAATGAAATGGAAATTTACCTTGTTTGGTATTACCTCCACCTCTTCCTTGGTTGGAGTTACCACGTCCTCCTCCTTGGTTGAAGTTACCACGACCTCTTCCACTAGAACCTCCTCTTCCTCTTCCACGACCTCTATCAGATCCTCCACCTCTTTGATTAGTGCCAGTCACATTAAGGGTGACTTGACTCTTCAAAGCTTCTTCTGCTAGTGGTTCTGATTTTGACGCAATCCTGTCAATATGACTTTCTACCATACCTTTCAGCTCTGCAATTGATAAGAGCTCGGTTTTGTGTGACTCTGTGATCGAAGCCACCACATGGTCATACTTCATCGGCATAGTTCGAAGAACTTTTTCAACCACTGCACCATCTTCAATCGTATCTCCGTATAACCTCATCTTATTCACCATATCAATAAGACGAGTGAAATACATATCTATTGTTTCTGTAGAGGTCATCTCACAATTATCATACAACCTTCTCAACGACTGCAACTTAGACTTCTGCGTCCGATCGACTCCTTTGTGTGACACCTTTAAGATGTCCCAAGCTTGTTTTGCTGTTTGAGCACGAGCTAATTGTCCAAAAATGGAATAATGAACACCTTGGTGAATCTGACCCAAGGCCAATTTATCTCGCCGTATAGCGGCTGCATCAGCTCCTTCTTGTAGACCGGGATCAACAAAGCTCCAAAGATTTTGAGCTTGCAAATGTGTGGAAATCATAATTTGCCAATAATTGTAATCGAGTTTCCCGTCCAATTTGGGACCCGTCCATACAATATTGAAATTTGCAGCCATATTTCACTACGGGAAATATCTCGGGGTTGAAAGGTTGACTGGCTCTGATACCAAATGTTAGATATATTAAATATAATATATTTAATATAATATATATTAAATATAATATAATATATCTATAATATATATTAAATATAATATATCTATATATTATATTTATATATTGAGAAGAGAGAGAGAGGAATAGAAGTAAATGTTTATTACTTCACTTGATGATTATGAATAAACAAAAGCCACATATTTATAGTGAAAGAGAAAAGCAACAATGCTAAAGTTTAGGAAGTAATTAGAGGCCATGATTCCATGTACTCCATTTCACGTAGTGCTATGCATGCATCCACGTTCACACACCTCCTTTTATTTTTTAACAAATTAACTGCTAACTACTTGGTTTAATATATTACTAATAATAATAATAGCATTATTATTATTATAACAACAACACACCAATGACAACGGATAAATAAAACGGTTATCCTTTAAAAAAATGCACAAATACAATGGACTTTAAAACCATTGTCGTAAAATTGTTTGTGTACTCAAAGTGCACTTAGAGATAACACACCAATGACAATGGACAAATAAAACCATTGCAATTTAAAAAAAAAAAAAAAAAAAAAAAAACACACACACACACACACAAAGACAACAGATCGAACTTTTAAAACCAATGTCGTAGAAGTGTTGTACTCAAAGTGTGCTTAAAAACAGCACACCAACAACAACCGATAAATAAACTGTTCTGGTTTTAAAAAAAAAAAAACACACACACACACAAAGACAACGGATTTTTAAAACTGTTCTAGTAGAATATGTCGTGTACTCAAAGTGCGATTAAAGACAACACACCAACAACAATAGATAAATAAAACCTTATCATTTAAAAAATTCACAAAACAACAGACTTTTAAAACTGTTATCGCAGAAGTGTTGTGAACTTAAATGCTTAAAGACAACATACCAACAACAACAGATAAATAAAACCATTATCATTTTAAAAAAACGCACGAAGAAAACAGATTTTTTTTTTTTTTAAAAAAAAAACAT